CTACCTTATTTATTTAGTAGGTGTACTAATTTAGACACACTCTAGATACTATTATTTCTAATTAAGGCCCTTAGTTTGTATCTAGTTTCTAGTCTAAGTTCTATTAGATTATAGGCACTAAAGTTAAGCTCTCTACTACCTACTACAAATAAACTAATAGACAAACTAAGATTATAAACAAGTATATTAATTAGAGACTAAGGCCTTTTATATCCTATTACTAAGACAACTAGAGCAACCTACTACCTATAATAGACCGTGCCTAAAGTACTCTTCTATATTTATCTATTAGCATAGCTCTATATTAGCTCCTCTTTAGTTCCTTACTAAAGCAAAGTTAGTATTAGAAACTAGAAAAGACCCTATCTACTATACTAGAGAAACTAAACCATAAGGACGCCTTATCCCTTGCTACTTAGATACACAACGCCTAGAAGATTACTAAAGAAAATATAGAAAGAGCTTAAGACTAAATACGCTCTGCTACTAATTGCTATTACTATCTAGTTAACTAGAAGGTTAGTAACTATATTTATCTATCTACTACTAATCTTACTATTTTATAACCTAGCTAAAAACTATCTAAATAATAGGAAGGTCCCTTTAAGGTATTAGAATAAGTAGGAAACGCGTATTGCCTCTAATTGCCACCTAGTTCTAAGATCTATAACGTTTTCTCTCCTAATATACTATACAAAGATCCCTAAGACCTATTACCTAGATAAGAGGCTCTAAAACCCCCTAGTACCCCTATACAAGGTGTAGAGGAATAGGAGGTAGAAGAAATCCTAGCTAGCAAATTATATTAATCTAAGCTAAAATATAAGGTTAAGTAGGTTAGACACAATCCTAATCCTATTTAGTATCCTACCTCTAACTTTATAGGTGCTCCCTATAAATTACAGGCATTCTACTAATAGTATCCAAATTAGCTAGGTCCCCTACGCAGCTTACTAAAATAGATTCAAGCCTAGAAAAAAGGCATAGAGGATCTAATATTACTTTACAACAATTATGCCTAATATTATAACTAATTTACAACCTATTTAGCTACGTATTATCTATTAACTACTATCTATTACTATTATTCTTGTTGCTATTTATTATTATATCCTATTTAGAACTATCCTAGAACCTTTAAGTTCCCTAGGACACTACCCCTAGGAAACCTCTTTATTTAGTATCTATCTCTCTATTAGAACCTAGTTTAGACTCTATATTAGCTAAGATAGCGCCTAGACTATCTTTCTTAGCTAGCTTCTAGATAACTAGTGTAGCAGGTGTGGGAGCAGGTGCGGGAGTAGGGGTAGGAGCTAGAACTAATTTAGACGCTTTCTTATTAAGCGCCTTTATCTTAGCTTATACTATAAAGGTTGCCTCCTAATTTAGTGCTATTTCCTCTTTAAGTTTATTAATAGCCCTTATTAAGCCCCTAACTACTAAGACTATCTTATAAATACTATTCTAAAGCTAATATAAATTAGATATAGCAGTATAATATATAGCTATAAGGATCTTAGTAGCTTCTATACCCTTAGTCTAAGTATTAGTAATAGTAACGCACTTAGTAAGGTTTTAGGCGGCTTCTTAAATAGTAGCCTTAAACTGCTTAATATCCTTCTAATAAGCAACTATAGCTTCCTTATCCTTATCCCCTTTAGCAGGGTTTGCTACTAAGCTGTAGTACTTATCTAGAGCACCCCTAAGGGCAGAGTACTCTTAGCTAATAAAAGAAGGAATCTACTAGAATTAGTAAAGGAACCCTATTAGACTTAGATACTTACTAGATTACAATACTTATTCTAGGAGATATAGTACTAGCACTTCTTAGAATTCTTTAACTTAAAATTAAAATTGTTAAACCTGCCCCTAGCTAGAGCCCTAACTGCCCTTATATAGAGAGCGCGATAAGCAACAGGGAGGACTCCTAGTAGTACTAGTACTAGCATAGCTAAAGGTTCTAATTTAGATTAGCAACTATTTAATTATATAGATTAAATACTTACTAGATTTTAGATAGATTAGGTTAAATATTTAAAAAATTAGGGATATAAGAATAAGAAAGTTAGTAGGTAGAGGGCTAGTTATATATAGGCTAGGGATAGGGGTCTGTGCCCTAGGAAGAAGAAGTAAAAGTAAAGGCAGAGGTAAAGGTGGATTTATTTTATAAAAAGCTCTTCTTTTATAAGGGATCTAAACCTAATCCTAAGGATAGGGACTATCCTTTCTCTATAGGAGGGGGTAGTATAATAATAGGGCAGAATTACCTACCTATTATTCTATACCAAGTTAGGCCTAATAAAGGCCTAACTTACTAATATATATAGAGAACAGCTCGCCTATAGTTAGGATAGGCATATTCTTCTTGTCCTTTTGTACAAGACCTATAGGTGTAGGAATCTTATCCTTTTCTATACAGACGCGCACTCCTATATGCCTTTGAGTCGTATAGGATACCTTTTGGATGCCCTACCTACCTAAGTCGTTACAATATAGATAAGAAGGGTTTTCTTATTAGAGTACTGTTAAAAACTAAACGTGTGTTTAATAAGAGCGCCTATAAGTAGAGAAAGATTAGAGCTATACTCTAGGATAGTAATAGGGAGTGGATTACTACTATAGCTTGCATATGCGCTAATAGTACTACTCTTACCCCTACCCTTATTTATTAGTCCTAATCTAGAGCTCTATAGGATACCTAGTTACAAGATTTTAACCTATTACAATACTAAGCTTTCTTTGCAGCATTACTAAGTAGGTGGACAAGCCACACCCTAGGGGTATCCTAGCTTAAGGAGGTGTTTAATTGCAAGACAAAAGCTAAAGCTTATACTTTATACTAGCTCCTTATCCTTAATAGCTATAGATCTTACATAATAATAGAGTTTATTAAGTACTATAATAAATATAAGATCCTACTTATAATATATCCCCCTTATAGCACTTACACCCTTTAGCTACTTAATATTATAGTATTTGCTCCCTTTGCAGCTTTATATAAAGCTTAACTATCTAGTTTTCTAGATAGCTCCTAAGGGCTTATAAGTATTACTAAGAGGGATTTCTACTAGTTATTTAATACTATATAGAGTAATACCTTTAAGGAAAAGCTAATATTAATAGCTTTTAAAGCGATAGGTATCTTACTACTTAACCCTAATATTATCCTTTTAAGGTTTAAAGCACCTATAAATAATAGCAACTAGCCTTCTTTAAGTAATAGTACAACCTTAATATTAAGTACAAGTAATTAGAGAAAGATAGAGTAGTTACTCTATAATACTATAATTAATATCTATAATAAATAGTTAAAGAAGCTTAGCTAGACAATCCACACTATATTAGTAAGAAATACTCTACTTAACCACAAAAATAAACACCTAAGGGCTACCCTAGCTAATAAGAAGAAGCGTAGGAAGCGTAGTAAACCTCTATTATTACCCCCTAATAATAATTATAGTAGTAGTGCCTAATTTATTTTACTATTAAAGGTAGAGCAAGTGTTTAAGCTCTAGGAGTAAAAGAACCTTAAAGAATAGGAGCTATAACACTAAAAAAGTAAGGTAATTAAGCTTTATAAGTAATAGAAGCTTACTAAAGCTTAACTTATAGAGGAGCGTTGCCTAAATTAAGTAATTGCTAAGAAGGAGCAGGAGGAGAAAGCTACCTAAAAAGCTACTACACGTAACAAGCAAAAAACTACTAAGCAACTAGAAAAGTAACTCTAAAATAATATTAAAACGTCCTAAATAGGTAAGAGGCAAATCCTTAAGCCTCCTACTATTATACTAGCTAAGGTGGTTAATAAGGAGCTAGTAGAAGAGGATATAGTGGTAGAGGCAACTTCACAGCGTGGGCGCCTAATCAGACCCCCTAAAAAGCTGCTTACATAATCTAAAATATTTAATCTACTCTAATAGATCTAATAATCGCGACTCTAAGAAATCTCGTAATAATAGCTATTGTGGGTGGCGCAATATCCTCATTTAGTGGGTGGTGGATTTTGGTGTTGGTGGGCGCTCGGTGGGGGTGGGCGCTCGGTGGTGGATCACGTTACAATCTAACTCCACACCCGGACCCTGGCTTTGTGTAACCATGCGGCGCACCCTCACTTGTCGCGGCAAGACTATACTCTACTACTTGATCGGCATTGCCTGTGTAACTTCACAAGTCTGAAGCCTCACCGCCTTCTAGGCTTTCTCGGTTACGCAGCTGCAATTGAAGGCAGTGACTTAGTGCAACAGCCAGTCTCCCAGCTCTGCCATACTGACAGATTTATGATGTAGGGTGTAGGATATGTGCACTCCTTCTCACTCTTCGCTTGGACCATTTAGAACAGTGATACCGACTATTCACCTCGTAGTCTTAGGATTGTGTTGATTAGCACATGTACATGTAGCTGCAAAGTCTGGCGCTTTTGTATGTCGCCGCTTTGTACGATTAAGCAAGTGTTACAGACAGGTGGGATCTCGTCACAGAAAGACAATCCTTCGTGTATGTTCGTCCTAACTGTGTATCATGAGTAAACCTATTATCCTGGTGACAGTGAGTACTCGCTATTTTACCCTATTACAGAACATGCATCGTCTTCACGTTCAGCATCCAGGTACCAATGTATCAGATGCTGTCAGCATAGTTATTGGTTCCCACCAGTTCGTGTCACTTGAGCAAGCTAATGCTCAAGTAGATGCTATGCAAGAGTCCTCGGGTAGTCCTGGACTGTGTGAGATGTTCATCTACTGGTATATCAACACATTCATCTTGAAAGGCTGCGTTTCTTTCTCAGTCAGTCATAACGGTCAAATCATGCATTGCTGAGAGTCACCACGGCTAGCAAAAAGAAAGCGTTGCGATGTCTCTGCAAAAAGCAGGTGATAATATATATGCATCATTGAATTGTATATCTACAACAGAATTGAATAGCTATTCGACTTGCCAGCAACACCTCGAAGTTATTTTTGCCAGGTCTAGCAGGCTCCACTCCTGATCATGTGAGTAGCTTAGACCTGGAAAGCACGGGGGTGAGGGCGCGTAAGAGCTACCATGCGGCGGACCTTGTTGGCAACATCAGAGCCAGCGTTGGTCTTGAGCCAGCTGATCAAGGTGTCCATTGTGAAGGTCTCGGGGACATTGGAGCTAGACTTGAGCCAGCTGACGAAGCTGTCCACGGTGAAGCTCTTAGGAACGGTAGAGCCAGATCCTCCAGACTCAGTAGACGGGGCAGCGGCAGTGGCAGGCTTGGCTGGGGCAGGACTGGGCGTAGCAGCGGGTGTGGAAGAGGCCGGAGGGGCAGAGCTGGCGGGAGCGGGAGAAGTACCGGAGCCGGAGCCACCGCCCATTGTGAAATCGATGCAGGCCTCGTATGTCTGATTGATCGTAGGGGCGTCCCAGAACCACTGAATGACACATTCACCGGGGGTGGTGCATTCGCTGCTGACATCAGGCATAGTGATGTCAAAGGAGAGCCATTCGGGACGGGAGGAGAGTGGGACCGAGGTGAGCCCATACTCGTCCCAGCTGATCAAGGGAGAGCCGATGACCGTGTCGGAGCTGGTCTTGACAATCGAGACGTTGGCGTGACCGTCGTGAGGCGCACGGATTTCAACCTTCATGGGGATGACTTGGCCGGCTGTGTAGGAGAACACCTCGGCAGAGTCAGAGAAGGGAATACCCTTGCACTGCCACATCCTGCAGTTTGGCTGGCTGCCCTGCATGTTCTGGAGAGCAGCTTGGACATTGCCGAAGTGGTCGGAGAACTGGTTATTGTAGACCTGTTCACCGCAGGCTTCCTTGAGACCATTACCGGGCATACGAGGTTTAGGGGAGCTGATGTAGCCATGGGCGGCAACCGAGGAGACGAAGCTAGCAAGAGCAACGGCGGCGGAGTAGGACTTCATGGTAACGTGTTGATGCGCTGTCTGGGAAAAGCTAGGCGTGCTGGTAGGGGTTGAAACAGAAGTCTGGCTTCTTAAAAAGAACGTGTAGAGTGAGTGACGATAGAACGAATGTGAGGTCTCAGACCTGAAAGTGGCAGAAAAAGCTGTAGTCGAAGTGAAGGAACTGTTGTTTGGTAAGAAGCAAGAGAAAAAAGGCACCGAGAGCCTATATACCACTGTTCTCACCACCCGAGTACTCACTTTTCTCGTCATATTGTGGGCCAATTCATTAAACATTCGAAACGAAGTTCGGATGGGATTGCAATCAAAATGGCGCTTACCCTTTGTTCTCGACTCTAGCAAATCCCACGCTTTGCCTGTTCCTGGGATCTCGAACAGAGAGTGGAACTTCTTAGTTTTGCTTGTGCGGAGTCATTGGCCACTTAGGGAACAACTGCCGTCTCCAAGATCGGAGGTCGGTGGATTAAGGCGGCGGGTTCAGCATAGGCAAGTCCGGGACGATGGCCATCAAGCATTTTGACAGGAAACCATCCGAACATCGTAGTTCTCTAACTACAGATGGCAGTGCAAACGATTTGTTTCATATCGACGAAGCGCCCAGATCCCGGGTTGAAACGGTGGCGGAGCGCGCGATGGGTTTCATGTCGTCCGAGAACTTATGCGAAGAGCGGAAACGGGAGGTGTGGCGCGCTCCACCAACCTGGTCGGACATTGGCAGGAGCCTCAACTGCGTCATGGGCTGCTGGTATTCCTCTTTTGCACGAGGAAGATATAATCTATTGAAATGGATCTTTGCCGTGGAAGGTCCCAAATGGAGAACAAGGGAATGAAGGAAGAGATGGAGACTGAAGATGGGAAAAAGTCGGTGGGGGAGATGAAGGAGGTCTCAGGTACCTGATTAGTGGTCGACGTCGGGGAGATTGGACAGTTGCATGTGGTAGGGATCGTAACAACATCACTTGATTCACGTGGACAACTCCACTCCAGCATCAATTTGCAATGGCTTACGGTACCTACTATTATCTACACTTGGCCTCCATACACCTTTTTCGGCATCTGATGCTATCACATGATGGTATAGATCGAAATCGACCGACAAACTGTACCGGTATGACTAGACTATTAACAGACGAACGGTGACATCAGGGGGCAGGGTAGAGCAACTCTCGTTCGACAAAAGCAAAGTCGTCGACCGAAACAATGCACCAATGGCGACGTGTATTGCTGCCAGCAACTCGGCGATTATCCTAAGGCCGCATGCATGGTACGAGCGGAGATTTCATGCGAGTCCGCTATATTGCTATTTGCTCTTGGCACACCATGTCGAAACATCACATGATTGGCTAGCATGAACAGAGGAGGCTGTTACTCATTCTTGGTGCGTATATGCTGTGGTCATCTGTGGCAGAGTAGGTATAGCAGAGTCTAACAAGGCTCAATTCCTGCTTCTTGCGGGGTAGTGGTCATAGAGGTTGCGGGGAAGACGCAGGTACTAAGGTTGAGTCGGCTATGAGCAAACTGTTGTAGCCGCGCTCCCGCATCCCACATTGGGTCAGCATGGATAAAGCCTGCTCGTCATGAAGCTCTTATTACCGCGGTATTCCAGCCACTCGGGCGGAACCAAAAGGCACTTCGACACGAACTTAGCACACAAGTGGCTACACAGCGGTCATGGAAAGGTCCAATGGACACAAATAGCGCGGTTTGTGTGATTGGTATGGTGATTCTCATGGCTCGCATCTGAGTCTACATGGAGTCAGGATCACCTGGCCGACATCCAAACGCTACTCGACTACTGGCTTAATAGTAGCTTCACACTACTTCTGCGGACTATGCAGCGAATGCCATCTGCTAGACTGGACGGATGGAGTTTTGCAGTGAAAGAGTTTCAGAGGCGGAATCAAGCCGTTGCTACATAAGAAACCCCAGAGTACCCCGTACCTGGAGTTTATCGAGCTTTGTGGTGTTGCGTCTTGTAACAAAACCTCATCTACCATCACATATCCTTCATCAGCTACAATGGCTTCTCGGGATCATTTCAACACTAATGAGAACCGCTCCCATGAGACACACTTTGACAGCGAAGAGAAGTTCCGATACGAGCTTGCAAAGACCGTCACCTTGGCACCAGAACTCTACGAGAGACTCTTCATCTCCCCAAAGACCCAAGTCTCGGGGTCTCTGCGAAAGACCTTTGGGAATCCGACGCCTGTAGGTTGTCGCATTGTAGGAGCCATGACATGAGCTACTAATCGAAACACTAGGTTGGCGTATTAGGCTTCTCTGTAGCAGTGTTGCCACTCTCTGCAGCTTACAGTACGTGGCTTCTTCCATGTTTGATTCCCTGAGATTCCATCACTGACGTGCAATCAGTGGGCTGGCATGGCGCAGGAGGCCTATCCGCAGCAACCCTCACGGTTAACATCTGGTTCGGTGGCTTGCTTCTCATCCTCGCTGGCATAGGCGAATTCCTTCTCGGCAACACATTTCCCATGATTGTGTTCCTTGCTTACGGCGCACATCTCCTGTCGTACGCGACAACCTTCATCCCATGGTTCAACGCCATTGGTTTCTTCAATCCAGACGGCAGTGGCTTGGGTGGCCCAGGAGCTGCCAATCAGACACCCTTATTTTTGTCCAGCTACGGTAAATTATATGCTCCCTATCATATTCATCGACGACTGCCATAGCGACTAACAATAGTTCCTAGCATTTTACCTCGTCGCCATGTGTCTGCTCTCCTTCATCTTCCTCCTGGGCTCGCTCCGAGTAAACGGCGTCTTCGTTCTCATCTTCGCCACCGTTACAATTGGCTTCGGCCTGGGTGCAGGTGCATTCTTCCACCTCGGTCAGGGCAACGTTGCTTTGGGCAACAAACTGGCAGTCGGAACAGGTGGATGTTTTTTTGCTGCTTCTGTCCTGGGCTTCTATTTTTTGACTGCGCTTACGATTGCAATCATGGAATTGCCGCTTCCTGATCTGCCAGTTTTCGACCTTAGCACGATCATCAAGGCCAAGTCGAGAGCCGTACCCTAGGAAGCGTAAGCTGCGTATGGTATCAGGGGCCTGTCTCAGAATGATGGATCTGACTATATGTATGCTTTGAGACCACGTTCACAGCAATAACATTCAGTCTTTTATGGACTTCGACGATTGTGCCCACAATCCCATCACCGAGTACTTGCGGATGCGTCACCAGTAGGTCGCCGTCATTCAGGTGCAGGCCAAGTGCTATCGATGCTGTCCACTGCACATGTACATGTATATGGGCTTGCTCGCCTTTTAGAATGGACGGCTGGGACTTGACTGATTCGAAAAGGGACCTTGACGCCCCTACCGGTACTCTTCGATGGCTGCATGGGTTGGCATGGTAAAAAAGATACCAAGCATCATGTCGCTTGTATGCCATGCACATTCTAGCCCCCCTCTCTTCCTAATTACCAATTCTCTTTCATAGGCCATTCATTCCATCTTTCAACATCGGATTCCAGATCTGGTTAGAGCAGCTCCTTGTTCTAATGTGGTGAGAGCCCGGGAGCAACTCAATTCTTAAAGTGCGGCATGACGACGACACAGTGTTTCCAAGGCAACAAATGATGTCAGACTCACAGGTTGGGCTATTTGCAGCTTTTAGTGAGGCAAGGTCTACTCTGCTACGTGTGTAGAGTTCCAACAGCCAGTCGCGAGGACGCCACGTGATGGCGGGTCACCCATCCACTTCAAGCTTGCACCATTGTCGCTCCCTCCTGTCCTTTCCTTGTCCTCACAGTTCAGAGAATCTTATATTCAAAAGTTTTTAAACATCGCGCGAAAGAGTCCGTCAAAGGTCCAGTGGGCGGCGTCGCAACCCGACATGCTTGACCTAGCAAGTACAAACCTTGTCCGCTAGGTACATCCCAGAACCTAGTAGTTAATATGAGCAATGATAACACACAACAATCCCAGTGCGTGCCCTCTCATGATACAAAACAGGCCCAACTCACCCCACTTCCTGAAGCCATGCGCACAGCAGCACAGCGATCAAGACGGAGTCAGTTCTATGTTTGACTGATGGCACACTGCATACTGTACAAGCCAGTGAACCCACTGATGGCCCAACAACACAATGCATCAATAAACACCGCCGCGAAACCTGATTCACTGCTACTGAAAGATGATCTACCATCTCAAAGCGACGAAAAGGCGGGCAACTCGATGGTCTCCAATCGCGTACCTCCCGGCGTCATCGTAGCTAAGAGCTTCGACGAAGAAGGGCAACCGGCAGTCGAAGAATTGTTTGACTGTCGCACCAGGAGAGTTATCAAGGCGAAGAAGACTCGAGCTCCCACTAAAATGCAGGAAAAGGCGGAGTGTGGTTATGAAGGGATGGGAGTGCGATATCTCGATGTATATAACCGCGCTGATGGTATGATTCGACATCAATTCCCACCATCAGAGGGGCCGAGACAACGTCAAAGTCCCTCATGCAAGAATGAGCTGGTCGGTTAGGTTCACGCGGACTGTGCCGTGGTAAAGAAATCCTCCACTTTGCAAGCGCATTTGAACAGGCGGGAGTGGCGTATATGTACCGAGCTGACTACGGAGCTAGACCACAGCAACACCGCTTCTGGCCAGCTGAAAGCCAACAGAGCTGGGATCGGCCAATTCAGGCACCAGAGTCCTCCTAAATGATATTCTTCTCAATCCAGAAGCGAAGATTCCATCGCCACCTCCGCCGCTCTTGTTGGGGCAGACCCTCTTGTCATCACCATCAGTATCACCACCCAATGCCCTAAACTTTCCCTCGAGACGACCTGATTCACTTTCGTTGTGTACATGCCACAAGAGAATAACGGAGAATCTTTCCTGCGTAGATTTCAGCATCTCATCCCCATAGTATTGGAAAATGAGTGGCTATCATCAGGGGGTCGGAGCTAGTGAATGGCTTTTTCTCGACCAAATTAGGACTAGCTCCCTGACCCATTAATATAGTCTGGGCTCCTCTTCAAAGAACACTGTGTGCCGATTTTTTGATGGACTGTTGAACCTTGGGTCTCTCACTCGATCAAGAATTCCAATATCTGCAAGTTCCCCATGGTGGCAGCGCCGTTCACGATTCTGCAGCAGCATGCGCTATTTGTTCCCTTTGAACCACAATAACAAGCATGTATCCTCGAGGCACAGTACATAACCGGACCCAGAGCGCAATTTATCACGACATCAAGTATGAACTCGACAACCTTCCAGCAGTCGCGTGTGCATTGTCGGACGCGAACACTACCTGGTCCTCTTACTACTACAAGCGTTTCACCACGAGTATGCGTCCATTTCGCAGACGCAATGAAGACGCAGAATTCTACACGTATCAGGAACTCCGCAATCATGACCAGGAGATAGGTGTGGGCTCGAAATCACCCACCATGACCGGATCCCCCCTTGACTTGACACCGCAAGATGCAGTGCAATTCAACAGCAGTCTTTCGGAACGTAGGCCAACGGTGCCCTTGCCACAAGTATACCATCAATCATCGTTTGCAACGCATACGCCTCTCTACACCGACCATGGAACACAGACTTCAAGCACACCGTCGCCATGCTACTCCACCATCAAAACTTCGTCACAGAGTTCCGACTTTGCCGTCCCAGAACACCGCTGGTACAATGGCGATGATGTTGAGCTACAAGCTATTGCGTACGACGATGGACATCGATATCCGCCAGGTGTTGTTGTAATCAAGACGATTGACGATGAAGGCAAGGAGATTATCGACGAGTTCAGCTTTAACAAGGACAAGAGAGACAAGATGCCACTTAGACGTGAGTGGGATAGGTTAGACGGTACTGGGGTGAAAGAAGGCGCCGTGGTAAAAATCGCAGGCAAATTTGTCAATACCCTGACACGGGTGATGTATGAGTGGAAAGGTCATGGCTCACGGTACTGATTCAGAATTGGAATCTTTACTTTCCAGCAGCACAACAAACACATCTATCCGCTTGATGCAAGCCGTGGGCCCATGTCCCTCTCAGCAAAACTTTCCACGCAATCCTCTTAATTCAGGTATGCATCTCCAACACCACACCATGCGGCCCACCATCCTGCTTCGGGTAATCCAGCTCAAACCAATAATACTCAAAATCCCTCTCCTCATCAGCAGGCAACAACAGGAACTGCGCAATTTGACCTTTTGGGCACGGAAACCACTTGGAAAATGCCGTGCTTACGCTACCCGCCTGGGTCAGCAGATACGTCGCCATATAATCTGTGACATTGGGCCGGCTGTTCCAGGTATCGGTGTCCTTGTTGATGGTGGGCTGCAGGCGCGAAATGTTCAATGCATAAGGAGGCATGCCGGAAAGGGAGTAAGGAGCGTTCTTTTGAGGCGACGTGTTGATAAGGAAGTTTAGGCGGCAAATGGCTGCTTCGTTGTCTGGGACATCGAAAGAGATTTCGACATGTTTCGAGAGCCCTGTGGCGTTCTACGGGTGTGGAGGGCGATGTTAGTGGAAGGGGCGCGGGGCATGGGGTATGGGGAGCAAGGAGGCAAGAAGGTGGAGACGAACGAAGTAGCTGACGGTTGCATCGAATTGGGTGTCGAAATGGGTGTCGGGCTGTGATTGCTTTAGGGCAATGAGGAGGTGGGGAAACTCGGTGTGGATCAGAGTAGCTGTTGATGAGGCTCCGAAGAGCACTGCTAGAAGAGTGAGAGCGCGCATCTTTCAGAGGTTGACAAGGCAAGAGCTGAAGTCAACGTTCTCGGCAATGTTTCTTCCTTGAACTGTACAGACACAACGGCGTATGTATCGTGTTCTTATATCCACGCATCTACGGCGGTGCAAATAGTCATTGCAATGGTGCCGTCTGAAAAAGACAAGAAAATGCAACCAAGGAGGTGGTACCCTTGCGCCATGTCGGTGCAACAAACATGTGCAATGCCCTGTCGCGTGTCGTTGGACCCACGCTCCTTTAGTCCAACGTGCAACGAACCCACAATACCATTTGTGAGAGTTGGTGGGAAAGCTACCCAATGATGGCGCCCGGGCGAACAATCTAGTCAGGCCTGTGTTGAGCGAATTACTGCAAGGTACAAACTTTGTCCTCACGCTCTTTGCTTTCGACCTGGCCTTTTGACGCGGAGTTACAGTTACCGGCCAGTTGCTAGGAGAGGATGTCAGGGTCGGGAAATAGAGGAGATCTGATGTGTAGATTGGCGGTGCTAGTTGGTTGGGGAGGCTGTACTCCTACAATGTGGTCTGGGTACCTGCATGGGCCTGGAGGTAGTATGTCTGTGTGAGGGATGGAACCATTCGGTCTCACATGGTACGCTGGCTAGAATCTGGGGATGGTAGCATGGGACACAAAGCAAGCTTAATATTGCTTGAGGGTACTACACGGGACGTGGTACATCGGCTAGGTACAGTGACTGAGCTGAGAGCCAAGCGTGTAGTAGAGAGAGTGCTGTGCCACGGGGTTTCCCGGCTCCTCGGTCATGAGAACTGGGAAGAATTGAGAGATCATCTTGCAGATGGCCGATTTGATGGCAGCCTAGGCCTGTTGATACGGCGAGATGAGAGCTACTGAGTATCGCCATGGCGTTGTGATGCACGGAAGCGGCGTACCTATGTCTTTCGCCGCGTCCCACATGTGCAAGTGGGGAGGAACAAACACAATCAGCAATTGGCCCTAGCATCAGTTTCTATGGTTTCTCATGCGGCCACATGATATGATTCTTCCGAGCCTAAGCAGGTGATGGTCGTGATTGTGCTGGAGAGGAGTTGAGGCTGACATTGGGGGTGTTCGCGATTGGGCCGTGGGTCTCGGCATGTTCGCGACGTCACTTCCAACGTTCCTCGTCCCAGTCCTCTCGCCATCGAGATCATCTACGCACACAAAGTAACCTCGCACATCCATCTGCACCGTTATATTGCAAATCAATGTACGCGCCCGATGTGATGATATGGCGTCGCTTCCAAGCTCGCGATCCGCCTTGAGGATATCGTCGCGGGCCATCGGCCAACTTCGCATTCCTCAGACGCGTCGAAGTTTGTACCTTGCACCGCCATTTCTCCTTGATGACTACATTCCGCGCTATCAACTCTTGTCCTCGGTAGATGCGTCGAAAAAGCGATCCCTCGCATACGGCCATCTGCGTAACTGTAATCTGTGCCCGAGGCGGTGCGGGGTGAACCGCTACGAGAAAACAGGAGTTTGCTTGATAGGCGCTGAGACGGTCAAGGTCAACACTATTGCTCCGCACTTTGGAGAAGGTAAGACGACCTATATCTCGTGGCCAATAGAAGTGACTGACAAGACCCATGTAGAGCCATGTTTTCAGGGCCACAACGGGTCAGGATCGGTCTTCTTTAGTGGCTGCTCTCTTCGATGCGTGTTCTGCCAGAATTTCGACATATCCCATCAGCGCAAAGGCTTTGATCTGACGCCCGAGGCATTGGGGGAGTGGTATATCAAGCTGCAAGATGTGGGCCGTGTGCACAATATCAATCTCGTTACACCCGAGCACGTTGTCCCGCAAGTGGTGCTGTCCATTCTCCATGCGCGCGAGATTGGCCTCCGCATACCGATCCTTTACAACACATCGTCCTATGATTCACTGGAAAGTATCGAGCTGCTTGACGGATTGGTGGACATGTATCTGCCAGACTTCAAGGTGTGGAACAACGAGACCGGAAAGAGGTTGCTCAAGGCAGATGATTATGTCAAGACTGCCATGGAGAGCGTCAAGGCCATGCACGAGCAAGTTGGTGATCTCTGCTTCACGGGAGACGGTATTGCCAAGAAGGGTGTCTTGGTCCGGCATCTGGTCATGCCAGGTCTGGCAGACGAAAGCAAAGAGATCATGAGATGGCTTGCCAATCACGTTAGCAAAGATATGATGGTGCACATCATGGAGCAGTATTTTCCTCGCGCACACGTTGGCAAAGCGCGTCGAGGACGGCGGGACACGGCAGAAGCAGGCGGCGACCAAGCCTCGTCTGCCCCGCAGAAAGACGTGCGGTATGCGGACATCAATCGCGCGGTCGAGCTGAGTGAAGTGGCGGAAGTGAAGAAGGCTGCAGGGGATGCGGGCTTGTGGAGGTTTGTTGAAGTGGCCAGACACGGTGGTTTCAACATCTGAGGAAGCGACGATGATGCTCCGAGGAAGCGACCACAGGGCTCTGAGGAAGCTACGATGAATCTCTGGGAAGCTACGATGAATCTCTGGGAAGCTACGATGAATCTCTGGGAAGCTACGATGAATCTCTGGGAAGCTACGATGAATCTCTGGGAAGCTACGATGAATCTCTGGGAAGCGGTAATCGAACAAAATCAATCCATCCCCTTCACTCCCTACACAATCCAACCCTTCGACACGCACACGCATACCAAACACTGCAGAATGCCTATTGATTCGCACATCCCTACCCCACACACACCAGTGCCCACACCCACAACCATGGACTTTGTCACAGACATAGAGCGTGCCATTCACGGCCTCAAGGTGGATCGTGACACCTGGGCAGCCCTTGCCCTGCAGTACAAAGCAGCCTTCGAAGCGCAAACACGTCGCCTGCAAGAGCTCCATGGCGTGTGCTTTGCCACTCAGGCCGAGTTGGAGAACGAGCGAGCGCAACAACGATTACCTCACGCCGCCATAGATGAAGCCGAAAAGGATGACCTAGAAAGCCTGGATGGCAATAAAAGCCCTGGACATGAGTCTTCCTATGGTACCGCAGTCATCTACTCACCACAGAAGCTCCAGCTGTCAAACGACTGTGCGAACCCGCTATTCGATGCAGTTCAGCATTGCGTTCGACAGCGCAACTACAACACTGCCCTTGCGGAAGTCGAGCGACTACTGCGTGGTCCGCTCAGTCCAAAAGCGCGTACCGAGGGACTGCTACTCAAAAGCGACATCTTGCGACCTATGGGACCCAATGAGCTCTACAATGCCTTGGCAGCTTGTAGCGAAGCACTGGAGCTCTGTGATCGTGTCTCAGGACTCGAGGCGTTTTTGTCCAGAATTCACCACCAGCGTGGCCTGCTTTACTATGATCTACACATGTACCGTTCAACTCTTGGTGCTACCAGCGCTGCTTCCAGCATCAGCCCCGATTACGGACAAGGCGCTGAGAGGACTCGTTCTACCACACGTCGCTCTGGCTTTGACGAGGACCGTACGATCAACGAAGAGTTGCTAGCCAAGATCGAAGTGATGGGAACACGGGTAGATTTACCACAGTCTGTTTCCAGTGACCTCGTGATACTGACATGGAACTTAGACACGTCGTCAGACGAGCGCTCAATTCAGACAGCACGCCGCTGCCAAGGCGAAGCGCATGTCCCTGCCACATCGTTGGACGTCACCCAGAATCGAGTGAGAAGGAAATCATCTTTCTTGGCTAATCATGGAGAACATTTGTCTGTAATGAGCTGAGCTATACCAAGTCCCTAATGCTCGTCCTGTAACAAGTGTAATGGCCGATCTGTCGATTACAGTGTAGCATATTTGTAAGTTTATTGACACAATGAGATCGCTTAATCCAACGTAAAGAATGCTTCAATGCCGTCTTTTCATTGTTCTATCAGCGCTACTTCAGAGGTGCACAAAGAAACAACAGCCATTCAGCTCAGACAAAGCAAGGACTTTGCCCACCAACATTGTCCACATGGTCTAATCGAAGTAGAAGTAGTCAAGGCATGGGAATGTCTTCTAGAAATTGAGTTCCGTGCACCCAAACACTCCCAAATATTCTAATAGAAGTTTCGTCATGTCCGACAAGTCCACCCCTACCAGCAACTCACCTCGTCAGGCCCATAGCCGATCCGTTTCGGTGAGCGCAGAACCTTCTTTTGCAAACCTACGGGCCCCCACTTCCCCACGTCGACCTGAACCATCTTCATTGTATCCAAAAACATGGGAATACAACAGAGAGCCTGTTAACAAGCTTCCTGAAGACGTCAAACCTGCCTGGGGACGCGATGAAACCCACAACAAAGTATCTGTCGTAGCGCCGCGGCAGGGTCATGAGGGCTCTAGGAATATTATCTCACCCAGGCTTCAACCCAGGCTTGCACGCCTAAGTCTATCAGAGATAAAAACAATCACTTTCGATCCAATTCAGGAAACACCTCCGTCGCCTTATCATGAAGCGCCTCCCAAGGAAAAATCGAGTTACGAATATGCAATCAACGATCTGTTGACCCGGACCGACCACGCTGATCAGAGCCGTGTTACAGAGACGGACTACTATGACCTACTGTCAAAACTGAAGGCATCCAACATGATACAGCCAATACTACCACTCCCGGAGGATCGAATCTCCTGCGTTGGAAGCGACATTCCTGACGAGGATGAAGAGGGGGACGTCCCTGAGGATAGTATTCCTACCTACTTGAAGAAGCATGATGCCTATGAAACAAAGATGCGCTTGATTCAGCTCCGGACAATTCTGATGCGCTGTCAAGTCCTCCAAAGCGCTGTGATTAACATTGAGCGCAAACCATGGATACCATCCGTAGAGAATCAGGCTAACACTTACTACTCGAAGATGCGGAAGCTTGCCTACAGGGCCCGCGAGCTTGCTGAACGTCTTGAGAGTCGCGAGTTGCAAGCCCGCTGCGAATACTGGGCCGGCCGTGGCCATGGTGGAACACATGACTTCGAATCTGCTAAGGAATGCTTTGCTCTTGCGATGAATCTTGACGTGGAAAATGGTACTTTGCCCAACGGTGAACCGAGACTGAGAGGACTGAGACCGAATGAGAAGGAGGACGTTCGCTTCCTCTTCGGTTATGCATCGCAGCACGAGGAGGAGTGGCGGCGGAGAATTAAAGATGTACACGAAGCTGCACCAGTGCAAGTTGGGCAAAGCAACCTGCGAGATGAAAAGTGCTTGGATTGGAGCAACATATCAAAACTGGCATGGCGCCCGGAACGCGATCGCATCATGGGTCATGTCAACTTGCCAAAGGTTGTACCCAATCTAAAAGCCATGAAGCCCGAATTCAGCAACGACTCTTTCGAGCCACAACAGATACAACTCAAAGCCATTCATGATGTGGAACTGAGAAGAAGACCACTAAGCGATGCAGAGCAGAGATACATAAAAAAGGATGGCAAAAGGCAAAGCCAACGGCGAGACCATACAACCCGAGTCGGCATCAGACCCACCCCGAGGACATATTCCATTCAAAGCCGTCGACCTGAGATGTCCCACGCTTCTTCTCTAAGGTCTGTCAATAGTTCGGCGTCTTACGCAAGTTTCAGGAAACCTCTACGACTACAAGACGAACTGGCAGACTTGGGGGATTGGCATGCCAGAACCCCATCATCATCAGGAAGTTGCAAGACATATACACCGAAAAGTGAACTACAGCAGCGTCGAAACGTAAACCTCGATTCGATCGATACTAGCGACTTTGAACATCGCATGAATTTAGGGAAGGCCGTGCATGGGGAAGATCCAGAGGTGTAGCAGGGTATATTGCGTATTATTAATCAGATCTAATAGGTATATCAAGGCCACGCGCGTGATGGCCGTGTTCGTGTAAACTGCCATCCTAACTATGAAATATTGGTGATCACGAGCTTAGGAATAACTTAGCAAATTAATTATTAGATTATAACTATTAGGATAGAGCATAAATATAGCTCTCAAGACTAGTAATTTACTTAATCTAGAGAAGTATACCAAACTTAATATTAACATAAGCTCCTATTAAGGTACTATTGTAGAAAAGAGAATAAAAGCTTAATCTTTATCTCTTTCTACTTACCTAATCTATATAAGGATCTATGTTCTCCTATATATTATAGGAAGGTTGTTTCCTGCTAGGAAATAACTCTTAAGAGGACTATGCGCTACTAGCGTCTCGCAGGAAATAACTATGCGAGGAAAATTAAAACCTAAAACCTATTTCCTGTGACCCCTACTACCTAAAACCTGTTTCCTGCAACCCCTACCTAAAACCTATTTCCTACAAACCTAGACCTAAAACCTGTTTCCTGCAAACCTAGACCTAAAACCTATTTCCTGCGACCCCTACTACACAAAACCTATTTCCTGTAAACCTAGACCTAGAACCTGTTTCCTATAAACCTAGACCTAGAACCTATCTCCTATAACCCCTACCACCTATTTCCTTATAAAAGTCCTACCTTTAGTAAAGAATTCTACATATTATAGACAAGTTATTTCCTACTAGAAAATAACTCTAAAAAGGACTATGTATTACTAGCGTGTGGCAGGAAATAACTATACAAGGAAAATTAAAACCTAAAACCTATTTCCTATAACCCCTACTACCTAAAACCTGTTTCCTGCGACCCCTGCCTAAAACCTGTTTCCTGCAAACCTAGACCTAAAACCTATTTCCTGTAAACCTAGACCTAAAACCTGTTTCCTACAAACCTAGACCTAAAACCTATTACCTATAACCCCTACTACCTATTTCCTTATAAAGGTCCTACCTTTAGTAAAGAATTCTTCTTATATAGACTATTATTTAAGGGTATAGTATTTATAAAAATTATTTCTATTACTAATAGAGTAATGCAGAGGTCTTAATATAGATAGAGGGTTTACTTAAGGGTAATAGGGTTAGTAGCTATATTATAAATACACCCTATTACCCTTACTAAAATATCCCCCTTTTATACCTTACTATACCTGCACTTACATAACTAATTATATATATTAATAATAACTACTATCTATATACTTAACTATAGGATAGTAATACTACTATATATAGTGCCTATCGCTAAGGTAGTCTTAGCCCTAAACGCCCCCTTAATAGTTAATTTAAGGGCCTTATCTTTGTTAACTTGCACCTCCTCTACTCTCCTTATTATAGGGGGGGTGCCCTAGTAACTATATAACTATTAGCTTTAGAGTAAATTATCTTAATATATATACCTATTAACTATTAGTAGTAGTTACTCCCCTAGATACTAATTAACCTACTCTAAGAAGAGAAACTCTTATAGTAGTAGACGCTCCTTAATAAATACTATAAAAAGTAGCTTAATATATTGCGCTAGGGATATTATATCCTTATTATACTCTACTACTATCTCTAACTACTATATAACTTGTGTCTAGGTTACCTATTTAAACTAGACGTTTACTCTAATACTCTTTAGAAGAAGCCTAAAATCCTAACTATACTAAAGTGTTTCTTTATAGTATTCTACTTCTTACCCTAATCTAGTAAACCCCTAAATAGCTTATATAGTTCTAGGTTATCTCTCTTATTAGGTATATAACTATTATTAGACGCGTATATAACCTTAAAGAGGTAGTCCTTTACTATAGATTTATATCCTATACCTCTTACACCTATACTACAGGCTATACTATAAATTATCTTCTTAAGAGAAAGATATTCCTTATAGAGGATATCTAGCTTCTATCTTTACTATATCTCCTCTATAAAGCTCTTAATCCTGCTCTTTTATGCGTCTATAAGATAGTACTAGAATGTCTCCTACTATAGTATAGTAAGCCCTATTTTATCTACTATATTATATCCCTCCTACTAAGAGTAGATAAGTTATAAGTTTATTAGATTAGGACCTAAATTATCTATCTAGAATGCGTGCGCTACTAGGGTTATATAGGCTATTATTACTTATTTAAACTACTTCTTTGCCTTATAATACTACCTCTTCTACCTAACAATAATTGCCTGCTAATCTAGAAAGGCCTCTCTAGACCTAACTACCTCTACATTTAATATCATCTAGGCCACAACATTAACCCCTATACCTAGGAGGCTCCTTGCAAAATTCTAATAACGTTGCTACTTATTTGTGAGGGTTACCTCCGCCTTTGTAGACTCCTAATCCTATTTACTAGCAATAGTTTAGACTAATACAAGGTTTATCTTTTTAACTAGGGCCTTATTTACTTGCTTTATACTTTTCTCTTTTATACTATATTTCCTTTTACGCCCACCTGTATTTGCTACCTTGCTCTCCTTAGGTACTATTGCTAGAATAACTAACTAGCTATAACCCTGTGTGCCTTAACTATTACTATCTCTTTCTTTAGCTTTAGTTACTAGGTTATTGTAGATATTATTAATTACCTTAATTAACTTCTAGCAGTTCGTGTTGCAATATATCTAAACTAAGGTGTAGTATAGATCTCTAGTAATTAAAGCCTTAGTAGGATTAAAATTATTAGCAACTTAGCTATATATAACTAGACTAGCACGTAATAGCATACTATCTACACCTAAGATTATATTTACCTACTTAATATTATTTAATAGGTTAACTAGTATAAATAGTAGTTTACTTATTACAAAGAGAGTATAGTATTATTTACTAAGTAGAAGGTTATAGTGTGTAAGGAAGGAGAAAGGTTTAAAGTTATAAGGTGCAAGTGTTCTGCCACTACCCTAACGCTAAAATAGTTAGATTAGCTAAGTTAGACGTTTTATAGCAATTTAGGGTCTAATTCTTAGTTAAAATAAGTAGTGTCCTATCTTTACCCTCCTTTTTAAAATCTTTTTACCTTACTTGCATACTACTGCCTATTAGCTTCTATCTCTTCCTCTATTATAAGTATTGCTAATTATCTTACTATTTATCCTAAACTAGGATTTAGGATTATAGTATACAAATATTATTATTATTACCTTATCCTATCTTATATCTTTTAGCACTTTTCTAGCAAGCATGCTAATTATATAGATTGCCTTAAGCGCGAAATGCTTTAGGAATTTATTAATAGCTAGATAGATAATCTTTATAAAGATATTAATAATATCCTACTACCTCCTTAGCTATATACTATTATTAAGTCCCTCTAACTTTATTATAATTCCCTTAAATACAATAATTATAGCTATATTATAATAGACTAGAGTATAGAGGGAAATATAAAAACCTATCTACGCTCCTATAGTGTCTTTATATCTAATATTAGGACTCTAGCTAGGAAAATATAGGCTACCTACTAGACTATTATTACTACCTAATAAATATTCTAGAGATATAGCCTGCCTACCTAAGCTACTAAGCATTTTAAGGTGTATAACCTAGTTACCCCTACTATAATCCTAACCCTAGAGCCTACGCTCTATACGCTAATTAACCTAGCTCTACTTGCTATAGACTCTAAACCTATAACCCTACCTACTAAACTAATATAATATAATAGAATTAATAACTTAAAGGTATAGCTAGAGGCTGCATAAACTTAGGTAGATATAGAAGAGGTAATAGCTACTACTATTATCCTACTAGCCTTACTACGCTAGACTAACCTATACCTTAAGCACACAAAATTTTAGCTCTACCTAGGGGGGCTAGACTAGGCAGAAATTTAGGAATATATTATCCCTACTACTACCCTAGCCCTTAATTACCTTAAAAAGTCTATTTAGAGCACTACGCTTGTATACTAGTATATAATAGCATCTATACTACGTTAGGCACGTATCTAGGTTATATAAGAGTATCTCTAATATATTCCTATAGCACCCCTTATCCTATACTTAGCTTTTAATAATAAGTATAGTAATACACTTATCTATATATTTATATTCTTTTACTAGGTTCTCTCTTAATAGCTTCCCTCCCTAATAACCCTTTCCCTTACTAAAAGATAAGTAGTAGCTTAGACTACTATTTAGACACACTTAGATAGCCTAAATAATAAATACCCTACTATTAATACCTACTATAAGTAACAAGTATTTACACTATTTAAAGAGCTCTATTATAACTTCTAGATATCTCTTACTAAGTAAACTAGTATATATAGCAACTTTAACCTTACCCTTATTATACCCTTAGCTTTTATAGCTATAGATATCTAGCAAGACTAATTTTAAGAGGTATACAACTTTGCTATAGACTGCTTAGCTATTAAGAAATATGCACGTATAGTACGGGTGCTACAAATTCTATAGAGTAGATAATAATAAGGATACTTCTACCTATATAAAGGTAGATAGCCTACTTAGTAGCAAGGAGCCCCCTATAAGTTAAGTAGAAGCTACCTTTCTTATCTAATAATAAGATGCTATAAAGCTAGAATATACCTATAATAAGGAGAACGCCTAGGTAAAAAACACTAACTTTAAAGCTTAGGTTCACTTTTACCTTACTAGTGAATTTTTAACCTCTATTAGCTAGGTTATTACTACTATATATTATATTGCTAAATTTAGATATAGATAAATAGTAGACTGCCTTTACTTAATAGAATAGCTTAACTATAACTATTTAATATATTACTACCTTATTTAAGTAATACTATAGTATAGTATAGGCTATATATAACTAGGCTATAGATACTCTACTAGATATTACCTTTATAGCAGAGGAATCCTTACTACTAGTAATTCTATAGGAGGACCTGTCTTGCAATCCCTCTAATAATTAACCTGGCTATACCCTATTTTTAGTAAAAAGTTTAGCTCTTACTTACTACTCTAGTTTTACTAGCTAATAAATACT